CATTAGCTCGCTTTCTTGGAAGCCTACAATGTGGGCCATTGCCAAGATGAACGGTTGTGATGCACTGATGCTCTATAAAACTATTGATGATGATGATGATAGTGATGATACAAAGAAAGCCATTTCCATTTCCCACATCCCACCATATGTAATGTATGTTAAAAGATAAAATACCAAATGGCACCTAAACAGGATACCTCCTAACTCATCCCCCTACCCACCAAGGGGTTATTGCACCCATCGTACCCTACCTTCTTCCCCTCTTTACAAGACATTCAGACTAAATGTCCTAGCTACTCCTACAAGAACATTAATATAGCATTAACAGCATGTTTGTTTGGTTTCGAAGATTTTAGAAAATTACCCCTAATTCTAGAGATATAACTTTTATAACTTTAACTTTTTTTTTTTAAGTTTTGTTGTCACATATCAATGCATTAGAAATTGGACTATGGATTGGACAATTACTACTATAACTTCGTATAAAAGGGGTTTTGTTTCATTATCACATGCCACATTGACCAAAAGTCCCATAGAAATATTAGGAAACCATTGGCGACAAAAGCATTCTTATTTCTTCCTCCTCGTAACCCCAATTTTAAATGCCATTTGGTCATCAAACATGCCCCAATGCCATACAATTATTTAATTACAATTTACAACGCTAACAATTTTTTTACCAAAATTTAATGATAAATATCATTATTTTTGTGTGAAAAAAAGTTTGAAGTAAAAGAAAGTTTTTTTTTTTTTTTTTTAATTTCAAAGTTAGAGCAGATAGCAAGTTTCAAAAACAATTGATATTGAATTTATAGATTATTTATCAAGAAAAATGCTGACAATGAATTTAAATTTATAAATGAAATATTTGAATTTTATCAACTTAATCAACTAAAGTTGATTAAATATCATTAATTTTAATTAACCAAAAAATCACTAAAAAAACTATTATAAATAATTAAATATCCTTTGGAGTTTGGACAAACCAATTGAACAAGAACAAGAAGAACAATAATAACCGGCCTTCTTTAACTAGTTGGTCTAAAGTCTAAACCAGTAGGTTGCACCATCCCAATCCAACTTACGTATACACTAGAATATTCTTCCACACAGGTTTTACCACGTGGGAAGCACTTTGAGAACAGCCTGAAAGCGCCACGTGTGCATTCTTACTGGTGTCCATCACACGTGTAGAAAGTGTCGGTGGCTGACAACAAAGTCAGACCTCATGGAAGGAAAGAGAAGTGGCAAACCCAAGAAAAGTGAAAGGCGTAAAAAGAAGTCTGCAGGGACAGCAGACCCTAGATTTTCGTACGGCTGTCAATTGGTCCCATCGTACTGCAAATTTACCGCGAGATGCTTAATTTTAACGTGATTTTGATTGTATTTTTACCCTGCTAACGTATTTTATATGCTACCTAGTAGTTGGTTCTGTACTGTTACTCGGTAATTTCACTGACTTGTGTATTTGGCATGTAGTATTGTTACGGCAACGACCGTCACCCTGATTTGGTCACTTGTGGAGGAAGACAAAGTTTTGGTGAAATTTTTATGTTAAAGACTTCCAGTAGTAAATGCCAAGGAAAGCCCCCCCTCCAAATGGAAAGCTACTTTGAATCTTTCTTCTTTCCTTCTCTTTACTACAATTTATGGTTCAATTCTATTCTTTTTTCTTTAGGAAACAAATTATATCGGTCAGCTCTCTTTTTTTTTCCCTTGCCCATAATCCTATAATGGAGAGTTCCATGAGGTCAAGTTTTATTCTCAATTTGCTCATATTGAAACAAGAAAAAAACTTAAGATAAGTCTTGCATACTACTAAAGTCTCGTTTGGCACAATGGGTAGTGTAGTGGGGAGGGATTTTGTGTTTTCTGATTGGTCGCTAAATCCTTTCAGCGATCAATCCATGCTTAAGTGCGGTAATAAGTCTCTCTCGTCGCATCATCGACCCTTTCATGCCAAACAGCGGCTGCATATAAATATCATGACGTGCTTAATTGTTAATTTATAATAAAATTATTGGAGGCATGTAGTTTTTTAATGATCCGAACTCACGGAACTTGTGATAATAGCAAACAAAAATAATTGAAACTTGAAACAAGGAAGTAGGGGCCAAAAGGAGCAGATAATAAAGTTTAAAGTTCTAGTTCTGTTAATCAACGTTGGTTTAAATAATAAAAGAATTATTCATTTTTTTATTATTCGAATTTAAATTTATTAAAAAATTAAAAAAATAATTTTTTATAAATTTATTAAATTTGATATAAATAAATTAATTTGAATTAATCTAAAAAATAAATTAAATGAAGCCTGAAAATCCTTTATCACTAAAAAAAAATTAGTTTTGGTTTTAAGAACGATTAATATTTAGAAGACGAGTGTTTGAATAAGCATATATGGTTTGCTACGTATCTTTGTTGGTGCGTAGAGTAGAGTAGAATAGAGGTAAGTAAAAGTTGATTTAAATTGATTAAATTAATTGAAATGGAGTGAATTTGATTGAATCAATTTGATTTATTCGATTTTGATTATAATTTATTTGTTAAATTGATTAAATTAATTAATTCAATTAATTTTTTATTTTTAAAATTAATAATTAAATTGACTGAATTAATCAACTTCTTAATAAGTAAAAGTAAAAAAATTGAGATAAATATTTTTATTTTTTTTTTATAAAATATTTTTGAAATTATTAAATTTTTTATTCATTTAATTTAAATGATACATGAGTTTAAATTTTATTGAATTAAATTTATTATTAAATAATTATTTATAATAAAAAATAATAATAAAAATTATTTAATTGAATCATTAAATCAAATCAATTTTAATCGATTTGATTATAATTAATTATTTAAAAATATTTGATAATTTATTAAATAAAAATCAATTAAATTAATTATTAATTTTTTAAAATCAAATTAATTAAACTGATCGATTACTCACTCTAGAAGAGGACCACAGCTACGCATGAATTGTCAAGGAATGGTCAATTAAGCCATGAATGAAATTATTAATTTGAGATTTTAATCCAAGCAGTACTTGTTTTGCTCATCTCTTTTATCTTCATAGTTCTCCCATAATTCCAAAGCTAATATATAGGTCGGCCCTTCTTGCTCACTCATTTCACATAAAAGGGATCCCCTTTCTATCTTTAACCATAAATTATCCCCTTTCTATCATTAATCATAAATTATCTATGAATTTATTATTATAATCTCAATTTCTTCCCTATTCCTTTAACTTTTTCTTTTTTTTTTTTTTAATTATGTCATCAATCATAAGAAAATACAAATTATTGAAGATAAAATATTAAAGTCTGATAAAATGTAAGTATAATAACTTCATCTTTAATTAAATACCTAGAAATTTAATGTACGAGTTGGCTAGGATTTAAAAACTATTATTATCTATAATATATATAAAAACACAAATATTGTAAAAGCTCTTAACTCATATTTTTAAACTGTTATTTTAAATATTTTATATTATAAATATTAATAAGATTTATCTAAATTATAAATAAAAATTTAATTTTATTAAATAAATTTATTTGATTGTAAGATTTATCCAATATATAAGTAAGAATTATAATTCAGTATAAAATTTACATGAATGGTATTGATAATGTAAGTTTTTATATATTAATATGTAAAATTTAATTATTGTATACAACACTATATTTAATATATAATTATTATTTAGAAACAAATATTTACGTACATATCTTACAAAAAAAAAATGTGATTTGAGGAATGATAATTAAGTGGAGAGTCTTTAAAAGTACAAGAAACTTTAACAAATATCATTAGGCTACAAAAAAGGCGTTAAGATATTTTTTAGTCTAAGTACTAATAATTACTCGCGGTAAAATGTTAATCAAAGGAAAGTGTCGCACGTGTACAAAGTTACCTGACGAAGGTGAAGCATGTGGCAGGTTTTGACGGTGAACCATCACCGTCAAGTTCCACGTGTTTAACATTTTATCCTCCATCCGTCATAGTTTTCGGGTCAATGATTGAAATTATTGGAAATTATCAGCAACTCCCCGATATAGCCCTCAACACCATACGTGTACAACCAATAGCAGTTAAGTCCGTACTTTGATTAGCTAAACCATGTCGCAGCGGAATAGTGTCTCCCGACCCAGAGTGTTTCTTTTTACACGGTTTGGCGGCTTCCGTTGTCTGTTTCCCTTTCTTTTTCCCGTATTAAATAAAACATGCATTTTCATTTTTCGAATATAAAAATATAAATGTTTATATAACCTTGATATATAGTTTCTTATAAAGTCACAACCGCAGCTGATTTAGCTGTCCACTCGTTTTTTTATTCATATTTTTTACCATTTTCCTTCTTTTTTCCTTCTTCCACGAGTTTTCCAGACCTACAAGGAAGGTAAGAGAAAGAAACAGATTCATACTTTTGAAAAAAAAATTTTCATTTCCCTTGTTTATATTTTTGTCACGCTGATTTTTCCGGTAATTTCATCGGGGAAGAGATTCTGGGAGCATTTCTTTTCCTTTCCCTAGTAAATTCCGAGCTATTTTGGTTACATTTCTGTTGGAGAGATCTGAGGTTTCTTTCTTTTTGGTCAGCGATCTGGGAGTTTGGTTTGGTTTTCTTGCTGGGAAAGAATCGAAGATTTTCTGTTTTGTTTCTTTCTTTTTTCTTGCCTTTGGTAAGACGCCATTGGCTGTTGTTGACGGAAATAGAAAAGGGAGAAGGCGAAGAGTTGCAGTTTCTTTTGTGTCTTTGCTTTGGAAGCTTTTTTTTTTTTTTGCCTTTGTAAATACGCGTGGCCATAGGAGTTGGATTCGTGTAATGCCGGGGAGTCTCTCGTAAAAACATCTACTTAACTACCTTTGTCCGAAAAATGTCTCTCCGTGTTTTCTGATACAGATCGCCCACTTTCACTCTTTCTAGAGATCTGTAACAATTCCTCTCCGTAAATATCCTTTTTAAGTAACCGGAAACAGGAATATTATCGTAACAAAAAATGATGAGAATGAAGACTAAAGCGACAGGGCTGTCCCCGGTGACAAATGGCGGCTCAGCTTTTGGCGGTGGAGGTGAACCGGCTGCTCATGATTGGGAGCTTAGACCGGGAGGCATGTTGGTACAAAAGCGAAGCCCGGACTCCGATCGAATCTCCATCCCACCGCCGACTATTAGAGTTAGAGTCAAATACGGGTCCATCCACCACGAAATCAGCATCAGTTCTCAAGCTACATTCGGTAAATTTCTCACCTTTCACACACACACGCAAATTAAACTCTTTTTTTTTGGTTTAATTCCACTTAATTAATGAAATCCAAGTTATTGACTTTGGGTTGTTTCTGGGGTTGCAGGGGAATTGAAGAAGATGTTGACAGGGCCAACAGGATTACACCATCAAGATCAAAAGTTGTTATACAAAGACAAAGAGAGGGATTCCAATGCGTTTCTAGATATGGCAGGTGTCAAGGACAAATCAAAAATTGTTTTAGTTGAAGACCCAATTAGTCGAGAAAAGAGGTTATTGGAGATGAGAAAGAATGCTAAGATGGAGAAGGCTTCTAAATCTATTTCTGAAATCAGCTTGGAAGTTGATAGGCTTGCTGGCCAGGTAGAGAATATTGAGTTTTGCATTAATGTGTTTTAGAATTTGTAAGATGTTTTTTTTTTCTTTAAACGAATTTGAATTTATGACGTGATGCATTCTTTTTCTTAGTTTGATGAAAGTGGAATTCTTTTCGTTGGATATTGTTTAGGTGTCAGACCTTGAATCAATAATTACTAAAGGTAGGAAAGTAGCGGAGAAAGATGTGCTTAATTTGATTGAGCTGTTGATGAATCAGTTGCTTAAATTGGATGGGATTATGACTGATGGAGATGTCAAATTGCAAAGAAAAATGCAGGTAACCTAATTTCTATTTTTCTACAATAAGCTCATAATCATTCATTATCCAAAAATTAAAAGATAGATATAATCCAAAAATTAAAAGATAAATGTATAGCTGCTCCGGTTTGAATTTGATATTATAAAGTTTTTATGTGCTGAGATTTAGAGACTTATTTATTTCGCATTGTTTATAAAGGTGAGAAGAGTTCAAAAATATGTTGAGACATTGGATATGTTGAAGATTAAAAACGCTATGCCTAGCAGCAATGGAGGTCAAATGGAAATGCAGAATCAACATAGGCATACAAATGTGCAAAAACTAGCCCCAATCCAAGAGCAGCAATCTGGGCATTTAAACGGGCAAAGACTAGCACCAATTCAAGAGCAGCAATCAAGGAACTCGGTTGCCCATTTGCCAATCCATCAACAATACCAGTACCAGCAGCAGCAATCGAGGCATTCGGCATCGGAGGCGGTAGTAGTCACCACGAAATGGGAGACATTTGATTCTTCCCCATCATTGTTGCCGGTCCCCTCAACATCTATGTCTACATCCACATCGACCGCCAATAATTCAGTCCCGCCAAAGTTCCCTTGGGAATTCTTTGACTAAGCAGTATGCCACGTCTCTGTGTTTTCTGTGTGTGGATGTGCTTTGGGTTTGTCTTCCGTTGGGTTTGTTATCTCTTTATCGCTTCTTCTTCTTCCATTCTTTCTGTACTTAGGTTTTCTTGGGCAACCTCCTTTTTTCAATCTGTCATTCAGTTCACCACAAAATAAATGGGGATTCCACCACAGTGATTATCAATTACTATGATGATTATAATTAAAAAACTGTTACTCGCCTGGTATTTTATTGTCCTTGAATCCATCTTCCAATTTGTACGATCCCCCTTTTGATGGTGACAAACTCGGGGAGGTGTATTTTGGCTGCCTAATGTGTAATCTCAATATGTCCATTTCTCAGCCAAATGGAATGGAACAAGGTCAATTGTAATTTATTTGTTGTCCGAGTCTAAAAGCAGAATAGTGATTGCTGAAATTTGAGAAATACTATATTTAATTTTTATACCTTGCTTACTGTGGGGACTGTATGCTGACAAAAAGCGGGCGGTGTTAAATGGAACGGATTTTGGTAATCTAACAACTAACCCGTCCAATGATAGGGAGCCAAGACTGATAAAAAAGTGCAAAGGACATGTAGGCGGTGGATTAATTTAACCATTTTAAAAGGTAATACGTGTGTTAGGATATGATTGTTTTTACAAGTGTCCCTGATTCCAATTTCAGAAAACCTGCCTTATTTGGTTGCAGTCCCAATGATTTTAGCCTTGATTGTTTTTACAAGTGTCCCTGATTCCAATTTCAGAAAACCTGCCTTATTTGGTTGCAGTCTCAATGATTTTAGCCTCCTACTCGATATAAAAGGAACAGGGCCACATCGAGATGGAATAAAGAAGAAGAACACTGAGTTTCATCGCCCTACCCTGCATTTTGAAACAACGATATCATTAACATTTATACCGTTTTGCATTATTAATAGTCAATAAAGGGCTTGAGACTGGTTCATGGTTGGATCTCGGAAGTGTAAGAATAAGAAGCGACTCAAAAAGAGTGTTGGTTTAAAATAAGTGTGTGTACTCTCACGTCTTGAAAGTGACTTGAGAATGGTTTCAATCCAACCGTAATTATAACATAATAATTCGGAAGGACAAATTGCCAGCAGGAAAGTCCCCTCAGATTCCGCTTGACAGACGTAGATGCATCTCTCCATAGGAGGACGGCCAAAAATGGAACCCGCCCCATTCAATTCTGGGTAGCATTACAAGGTCCAAAAACAAGAGGTGGTGATCTAACATCTAGTGGAAATCATGATAGAAAATTAGAATAAAGAATACAAAAACATGAAAGGTTAGTAACACAGAACATCAATAATTGCTCAAGAAATATGCATATAGATGATTCTATCGACACTTTAATTATAAAGGATTGCTCGTCTTAACTTTACCCTGATAAAGCATCGGGGAGGCATAAAAGAATACATGTTCCATCGATTTACTATAAATAATGTTGGAGGTTTGAGCCATGCCCCCACAGGATTCGAGCTATACAACTTTTGTTAGATGGTTAAAGCGAAAGAAACAAAGGGGACTATAAAATATGATTGAAGTACTAATTAACGAAGGTCTAAGTCACCCTTTACCAAATTAAACGGCATCTAGAAAGCACAAAAGTTGTTGGGGAAGGCTGTAGGCCGTCGGTGAGCTCGGGCCTCGGGGGACATTGAAAAGAAGCATCAATGCGAAACACGTCTGTCTTTTGGTGCTATAACCTTTCAACTACAAATGATTACTAGCTACAAAATCAACTGGTTGTAATGTCTTTATCTGGTTATCCTGAGGCAAAGCAACAAAAATATACTATACGGAAAATATCAAAGCAAAAAAGTCAGTAAAGCTAAAGCTAAAAATGTAATTGCCTGTAATTGGTACCCGAAAATATAAAAACTTAAAGCGATACCAAAAGAAAATGAGAAAAGAATTATTTAAGAAGAATATTGTGGAATATGGAGTAAAAGGCATTATCAGTACAACACAATTACGTCTCTGTTTTCACTAGGGAGAGGGTTGCACTAAACGAATTGGGTGGTGCCACCTACCTTTGCTGGGAAATTTGAATCTGTGTGAACGGAAGCAGCTAGAGTCAAAGTCAAGGTTTTATGACAGCCGATCCTGAACTAGTAGGAGGGCCAATCAATGGTGGGGCAAGGTTTTATCACCGATAGATATGTTGAAATATGTGGAGGACATTAACGATTAACTGATGCTCAAAAATAAAAGGGGAAGCAAGTTTTGTTTTCTTAAAGTTTCTAGTTAGGATTTAGTGGACTTCAACTTTGAAACTTTCTTTTTTAGGCTTTTTATTTTTTCTGGAGGAAACATTTATAAGTATATAAAATAGGCATGCTGTACCCAAACAAAATTAAAATTTTTTTTTTTAATACTATAAATATTCTATGATGTGCATCAAACAAGATGTTAAAAGTTTGAAGCTTGGCCTAAACATCGTTCCCCACCTTGTTAGGTGGTAATTTATTGGTGTGGTTTGGGTTGGAGTATTAAATTTTGCTTTACCCCTTTGTACTCGTGAAAAATCTCAAAAAAAAAAAAAGTTATTTTGTATTGCAAAGATGCTGAATAACACTGTTTGATTCATAGGGAAGAAGAAAGTAGACATTCGGCGAAACTGCATTGAATAGACAAGATTGAAGATAACGTACATGACAGAAGTAAATGAGAACTTCCACTTGGCTTCTGGAGCCTCCCCTCGGGACTCTTCTTCTGAAATCAGCCAGACGAAGGAATATTCTGTTGGGACAAGACTTCTATTGCCTGAAATCCCTCTTTTTGGTGGAAGCAAAGAGAATCCTAGGTGAAAGGAAAAAGTAAGTAGTTTAAATTCATTCATTTCATCCGGTAGGAAACAAGAGAAATGCACGGCAAATGGAAAACTCCCTTTAAAAGTAGGATTGGAATTGGAAGAAAAACATCTAATGCATAACACCATTAGCCAATTATTTATCTAAATTATAACTTCCTATCGCTAACAATTATACGTAAAGATCATTTCTTATTTCTATCTATTAATTTGTTCCAATTTTTCTTTTTCACTTAGCAGCCACAATTATAAATAACTGAAAGTTCTCATTCCTTTTTATGATAATCACTGCATGTTTGCAATTTGAACAATGTTTGCTATCCATTTCAGCCAACGGATAAGCATTCTATCTTATTTAACCGGTTTCCAAAACGTAGTTGCTTATGTTCTCTATTCTTCCTTCTTCAAAACAATTGATATATAAAGTCATCAACTTGAGTTCTGATCAGATGTTGTACATTCTTATGGATATTAAAGATCATGTTTCATCCATCAGAGCTTGGTTGATCTGACCTTATCTAGAAAGTGATTGCTCGACCAGATTTACGATTCTATTTTCAGTTAATGGCAGAACAAGCATGGAGATGAGGATGTGGGTACAATTGCCAGGAATATTAAACTATCTGTGCTGAAGGGATAGAAACCTGCTCCAATGGTAACTCTGATTACCCATCAACAAAACTTCAGCCGACTGATTTGTCCCAAAAATTGCAGCCTAGATCATCCAACACAGCTATATTTTGTAGGCTTCAGATATATCCAATATATTTTGTACACTCGCCAACTGTAATTAAATTTTTTGCTGAGGCATTCTATATCCATGTTCATAATAGTTCTGAAATTCCTTTCCGCTTATATCAATCAATGATTTATTTTTTACAATTTTACACCCGCTGTAGAGCGCAGGTACCATTTCCAGTTATCAGTGACAAGCATAATTTTATCCACGATTTAATACATTTTAAGGATTTTGGCAGTCGTGGTAACCAAATTTTCATTGCGTTTAAATCCAATGCGACACCTTAATACAAGGTAAAATTGAACATGCAATTTCTTGTAAAAGAAAAGGGAAAAAAAATGGGACTTTCAACAGTTCAGGGTCCAGGATGTAGTTTGAAGTTCACAGATCGGCTACATCAGGACGCTAGGCCCACACAACAAGAACTTATAGGGAAAGATGCCCAGTTTCTCCATCTGGGGCAAGGCCCTTCTTGGGACAACAAAGAATCGATGCCCATTCATTCCATTTGTTGACTGTTCAATTTTGTACAGGCCCTTATTCTTTTTAATAGATTTCTTATTGACAATGGAATCCCTGGAGTTACATAATAATCATTTAAAAGTTTGTGCACGGACATCACTTCAGGCTCAGCCCCTCTTTTCAGTCCCCCTTTGGTTTTTCTTCTGTGGTTTGATCTTAATTTTCTTTTCTTTTATATATTCCTAAATAAGAATATAAACACTTAATTTTATTTGAATTTTTTGAATTAGGCCTTGGTTTTACTAATCGACCTTAAATCCGTTGGGTATTGTCAGGTTCGATTATGTGTGCTAAAATCCAATCCAAGATTATATGGGTTGAGGCCCAATATTTAATTAAATATAATGTTTGGACCTATAGGCTAGAATTTTGTATAAATTAGATTAGGGCGCAACAAAATCTTTTGGGCCCAAAATCAAAGCCCAAACTAGAACCCATGTAAAGGGTTCATATTTTTCATTTTATATACTTATTTAGTTTTTTTTTAATTTTGTTTCTTTAATTTATTAAAATAAAAAAAAAGAAATTAAAATTTAATTAATTAATTAAAGAAAAGAGAGAGCCATGATTGTGGATGTCATGCACACCACCAACACCTTTTGACACTTATGAAGCCTATTCTTTGCAGCCATCTTACCTTTTACCTACACCTCTTTTCTCTTTCTACCATGGTATATAAGGCCAACCTTTCAAGAAAATTGGTTTAAGCTAAAATGAAAAAAAAAAAAAAACAAAAATCACATCAGGCATTACCACCTTGGCAGTGCGAAAGCTATCGGTGACACTTTAAACCCCCCAAAAGTTTCAAAAATCATGGGATTTCGTCTCCCTTCCTTTAAAAATTTAGAGCTTAAACACGCTAAAAATAATAGGGGAGGAAAAAAGAACCAAAAAACCTTTGCCAAAAAGAGCCCTAAAAAAAAAAAAAACCTCTGTAAAAAAAAAAAACCTTTCGTAGTTGTCCAAAAAAAAAATCAAAAACAAAATCCACATCCCCTAAAGCGGGGAAACAATAGCAAGATAAAAGAAATAACCCACACAAAAAAAGAAAAACAAAAAAATCAAACAAAAAAAGTGTTTTTAGTTAAGATTTTGAGAGTAGATCTAGGTTCTTGGAGAAAGTTTTTTAAAAAATGGGGCTCAAAAGGGTGTAGAGGGGTCGAAAAGGATCTTTTGGGGTTTTTATTTTGGAGTTTTCTAGTGACCGATGAAGACAAATGCACTGGTAATGACAATCGATAGGATGCGACATTGAACGGTCGGAATTTGGGTCTCTAGCAGAAGATTTCAAGGAGTTTGATTTTTTTTTAATAGAAAATGGGAAAATGATTTAACAAAAAAAGTTGGGATTCATTAACTAAAAAAAAATTTTCAAAACGAAGTCATTTTGGATGAAGGGGTTTACATATCAACTGGACCTAAAGATCTATGAGCCCAACTTGGATTAGCTCCCTTAATCACCTCTTGACTGGTTTGATTGATCGTTATTGTCACAATGTATATATCCGTGGACCTACCACTAGACATGGATTAGAGGACTCGCCATTAATTTTTTTTGTTTAAGTGTGATTGGTCACTTGAAATGGATTTTGATATGTGAAACCAGATTTTAGGTTCGGGAGTATGATTACGTGTAAGGAAGGTTATAGCACCCTTACAGCACCCATCTAAAAGATGGTTCCAGTTTGATTTCAAATTATCCAAGCCTTGATCATATTTGTAATTTATCAAATTATTTAATATTAAAAATTAGTCTTAAAATTGTCTTAATAGTTTGGTAGCAATTTAAGATAATTCTCTCACCTCAAAAGTATTCATGGAGACTAGTGTTTCACTTTAAAAAAGCTCCGTCATCGATTTTATTAATATTTTTTATTCTAAAAAATTAGTAAAGTCTCCCAATAGTTTGGTAAGACTTAATTTAAAGTAGATCTTTTAATTGTTTAGTGAGATTTTATTGTAAAAAAAATTGTAAAATTTTTTGAGAATTTCATTAAATCTCTCA